TTAATTTCATGTTTGCGTCACCATCTTCAGTGATCATGGAGCCCGAGAAAGAAAAATTTGTTGCTGCCTCCATATCTTCCCCTTCTATTTGCCAGGAGGTGATGGGACCAGTGGCCATGATCTTAGGTTTTTTTGATGTTGAGTTTCAGGCCATTTTTTGCACTCTCCTCTTTCACCCTCATTACAAGGTTCCTTAATTCCTCCTCACTTTCTGCCATCAGAGTCATATCATCTGCATATCTGAAGTTGTTGATATTTCTTCCTGCAGTCTTAATTCCTGCTTGGGATTCCTCCAGTCCAGCCTTCTGCCTAATGTATACTGCATATAAGTTAAATAAGCTGGGGGACAATATACAGTCTTGTCATACTCCTTTCTCAATATTGAACCAACCAGTTGTTCCATATCAAGTTCTAGCTGTTGCTTTCTGTCCCACATATAGATTTCACAGGAGATTGAGAAGGCGGTCAGACACTCCCATTTCTTTAAGATCTTGCCATGGTTTGTTGTGGTCGACAGTCAAAGGCTTTTGCGCAGTCATTGAAGCAGAAGTAGATTTTTTTCTGGAACTCTCTGGCTTTCTCCATAATCCAGCACATGTTAGCAATTTGGTCTCTAGTTCCTCTGCCCCTTCAAAATCCAGCTTCTACTTCTGAGAGTTCTCAGTCCATATACTGCTGAAGCCTACCTTGTAGGATTTTGAACATAGCCTTGCTAGTGTGTGAAATGAGTGCAATTGTGAGGTAGTTGGAGCACTCTTTGGCACTGCCCTTCTTTGGGATTGGGATGCAGACTGATCTTTTCCAATCCTCTGGCGATTGCTGAGTTTTCCATACTCGCTGGCATATTGAGTGTAGCACCTTAACAGCATTATCTTTTAAGATTTTAAATAGTTCAACTGGAATGCCATCACCTCCACTGATCTTGTTGTTAGCCATGCTTTCTAAGGCCCACTTGAATTCACTCTCCAGGATGTCTGGCTAACGGGCAGCAAGCACACTATCTGGGTTGTCCGGGACATCCAGATCTTTCTGGTATAATTCCTCTGTGTATTCTTGCCACCTCTTCTTGATGTCTTCTGCTTCTGTTAGGTTCCTCCCATTTTTGTCCTTTATCATGTCCATCTTTGCACAAAATGTTCCTTTAATATCTCCTATTTTCTTAAACAGATCTCTGGTTTTTCCCTTTCTATTATTTTCCTCTATTTTTTTTTTTGCACTGTTCATTTAAGAAGGCCCTCTTGTCTCTCCTTGCTATTCTTTGGAAGTCTGCG